AGAGGGGGTTAGAGGTTGTCTTGGGAGGGTAATATGTTTTTTTCTGAGTAGAAGGAATTTGTTACAGGGGGAAAATAAATGAAATATGACCTTGTGAAATCCAACTAGAAATGCTACATTCTCAGGCAGAATACTCATTGGGTTTTTCTGCTTCCTTTGAGATAACATTTCCCCATTCTTTGAAAAATGATCTTTTATGAACACATTGCAGCAGAGATGAGGGGATGTTATTTTTGTTTTGGTGGAGAAATATTTTTTGTAGAAATAATGAAACTGAGGTCATGGATATGTGCACAGACACTCCCAAAGTTTTAGTGCTGTAAACTGGTATACATCTATACACTGACCTCTCTGGGTTACTACCAATTTGATTCCAGTGATAGTGCTTTGGTCTTTGGGGAGTACTACACCAGGGCTTGGGACCAGATATTTGATAAGGCACAGCACCACATATGGGTGTGAAAGCCTGAAGAACTGCAGTCCAGAGGAAGAGCATCTTTTGGTGCTGACGACTTTCCATGTGAAAATCAGTTCTAGAAGGCACTCTTGTTTGTATAAGCCATCACTTGCCATGTTGCTGGCTACATTTCCAAGTGCTTGTATTTGATTTCTCATGTTTTTAAAAGGTCATGAGGAAACCTTGCAAGTAGCTGACTGTGAGGACAGAAAGTGAACATGAAGTTAAATGTGAGCACTAGGGTATGGCCTGCTGTTCAGATGCCCTAACACATCCTATGGTATAAGGGAAAGATGCACATGTGTAAGTGCTAATCACCAACCAGAGCAGAAGAGAGTGTGAGATTGATCTGAGCATATTTTATAGACAATACCTAGGAACAATAGAGTGATATATATGGAGAGCTGTCCTGCAGAGTCACAAGGTGAGCTGCTCCACTTGGGAGAAGCTCCTTTCTTGGGTAACTTTGGTTACATAAGTATCAACTTTGTTGTTCTAGTCCAGATCCTTCATTTCCTCTGGTGAGCTCACCTGTCTGCAGATGAGCTGACAGCCTCCCAGGGCACATCAGCAATTGCATGCAGCTTTGCCAAAATGTGAGTTAGCCCAACCAGTGGTCTTTGCTGCTGGGCCACATAAGATTCAGGCAAATGAGTTAAGTTCACATGAACTCTCATGTAATAATTCAATATGAATGTACTAAGGCTGTCCTCAAGCCCTGACTTTGGTTTGAAGTGCCAGTCTCCACCTAATGTTTCTGTTAATGGTAACTCTAGTGTTTGTCTGGTAGCTTGTTCTCTGATTATCACAGAATTACAGAATTGTCATGGTTGGAAAAGAACTCTGAGATCAACTAGTGCAACCATCCACTTGAGGGGGGAACAACACAACCCACCCAAACTACTCTTTCAGTAAAGAAATTCTTTCTAGTATCTAGTCTAAACCTCTCCCAGCACAGCTTCAGCCTGTTTTTCTCTAGTGCTGTTGTGATGCGCTTGGGAGAAAAGGCCAATGCCTGCCTCACTACAACCTCCTTTCAGGTAGTAGCAAGAGTGGGAAGGTCTCCCCACAGCTTCCTCTTCTCCAAACTGAACAATTCAGTTCCCTCAGCCTCTCCCCACAGGACTTGTGTTCTAGGACCCTCACCATTTTGGCTGCTCTTCTCTGGACATTCTCAAACAACTCACTGTCTTTCTTGTAGTGAGGGGCCCAGAACTGAACACAGTACTTGATGTGTGTCACAGCCTGCTTGTAGACTTCCCTTGTAATAATATTTGTAAACTTTTTTAATAACTCCTTGTTTTCCTGTTAAACAAAAGTGTAAAAGTAGTTTCTCATCTGTAATTTTTTAGCCATCTGCATGATACTGCTATAAACACTGGCTTGCAGTTCACAGCTGTGGTTTGTTTCTACAAGCCTGGAAGAAGCTGGTCTCCTGTTTGGGGTCCCACTGGAGCTGGAGGGCTGCCCTCAATGAGCTGGAAGTGCTGATGGTTAGGAGATGCTCTCTTTAAGGTAGAAGCCACTATTTTTCATGTAACCATGGAGCCAGAGTGATGACTGTTTTGATTTATTTTGACAAGTTTACACAGTGTAATAAGGATCTGGCAGAACATCCGCTTGTTAATTGTGTCCTCGAGTTGTGTAACACTTCCTTGGTCACAATTAAAATAAAAACAAAACAAAAAAAACTGCAAAGGAAACCAGAAAATGAAGCTATGCAGGGAACTCTGAGGGTGTTTTTAGTGGGTTTGTTGGTTTTTTTCAAGGATATTTATGACCTTGGGTCCCAACAAACTGGGAAATATGTTTTGAGGACTCTGGCATCTTGGCATGTTTCTGCCAGAGTGATGGAACAGAAGGGGACTCAATACAGCATTGCCCCCTGGGTGGGTTGCAGGCTGGGTATTTAGGAGGTTTAAGGTTCTCTTCCAGGCTTTGTTTATTTTTTTAGGTCAAACCTCTTCCTTGGTTTGTGCTTGTCATTGCTGTTTCTGTTCTGCATGGGTGTGCTCATAGCAGCCTTCCAGTATCTGAAGGGGGCCTACACGAAAGTTGGGGCAGGACTTTTTACAAGGGCTTGTAGTGAGACAACATGGAGTAATGGATCAAAACTGTAAGAAGGGATATTTACATTAGATATTAGGAAGAAATTCTTTAGTGTGAAGGCAGTAAGAAGGTTTCCCAGGGAAGTTACAGATGCCCTCTCCCTGAAGTACTCAAGGGTAGGTTGCATGGGGCTCAGAGCAACCCGATCTAGTCGGAGGTCTAGTGGAATCAACATTCTGTGATTCTATTTGTTTGCTTACTTTCCATTTTAATTCCTGCCCTGGCACCTGGGTTGTGGGGTGATGACTGTTCGAGGGCAGAAGCTCTTGGTCAGCAGCACTTGCCTGCTGGCTGCACTTTCCCAGGGACACTGTGTGCCCAGAGCTCACCATGGATAGCAAGAACTGTAAATAACCTCAAACGTATTAGTACTATTGCTTTCTTTTGGATCCCCACTTCTACAGAGAGGGCTCAGCAGCAGAAACATATTTTGCCCTGGCCTGGACTCTGTCTTGTGTTTCCCAGTGAAAGCAGCAATGGATTACCAGCATGCCTTCCCAGTGAGAGCACAGAGGTTGTGCAGCTCTACCGGGCAGTGCGAGGAGAACTGCAGTGCACAGAGTCATTATGGCCAAGATGCAAAGTACTTTTATTCCTCTCAGCTCATGTAGGGCAGAGCAGTATTTCTGGAACATTTGTACGCAGAGCTGTTCTTCCACAGTTTTTTGGAACATGTCTGTCTGGGGGTCCTGGTGGGGTGGCCTTTTTGTTCTGACCACGGCTGCCACCAAACCAGACCTGCTTTCATTAACGGATAACCAAATCAAACAAAACCTCTGACCTTTCCTTTAAGAGACTGCAGCAAACCAGGCCAAGGTCACACCAGTCTGCAAAGTTGATGGACTTTGCAGTAGCAGTCTTACAGTAAGCTAATAAGAAAACTTTTTTGTTGGCTTCAATGCACACAAAGATATGCAGGGAACTGATCTGTGGTTGGGATTTTTTTTCCTTTAAATTGCTGAATTAACCTCTTATGCTCTTAGGTTTATGTGGCTGTTGCTATGCTGCTGATGTATTAATTGCCTGAAGTTTTGCTCACAGATGAGAATAAACTGTTTTTGTACGTATAGTACAGTGAAGGAATGAAAAAAGTAATTGTTCTGTAGGCCTTCATTGAGGTGGCATTGCTGGTGCAAGGAGCCAGAAACTCAGGTAAGGAAAAAGAGGTAATACTTGTTTTCCTCTTGGTCCACTGGCAAGACTGCTGACTTCTCTGTCTTCAGTTTTCTGATCCTTTGGGTTTGAGAATGGTTAAATCTCTCTGAAAAGCTTGTTCATTGACAAATTATTGTGTAAAAAGTGCTGAGTTCTCAATAATGCAGTTGTATGAAGATTTACTACGATTCTTTGCTAAAGGAGGAAGCAAAGTTTTAACTTAACATGATTAAATTTTTCTCAGCAAGGCATAAAAATCATAATAGTATATGTGGCTAAAAACTTAAAATAGAAAACAATTGCACATTTAATTTTTTTTTTCAAAATTAAATATTTTGGACTATTGTTTTAAAATAAATTATTTGCTTTTAAAGCTTCTTTGGGTTTGGGTTTTTTTTTTAGGAAAAACAAAATTATAATGTTCTACTGTAACAGCCTATCAAGTTTGCTGTTGATTCATTCTCCTGATGTGGGGGAAAAATCTTTTGCATTTTTCAATGAGTAAACAGTTTGTCTGGGATAAGGTTTTCAAGTATACTAAACTTTATTACTTCTAAAGACTGCCTAAAATCTTCTGCCTCATCAGCTAGAGCTTAATTGAGCTCAGAATTGAGAAACAGGCTAGCTGTTCTTTTTTCTGCTGTTGGTAGAAAATTCAGATGAGCTCTGAGTAGTGATTGTTTGCAGTTTAGACAGGCTAGTCAAAACTAAGAACAACAGAAGACTGAAGGGACGATTCACTGCAGCAAAACGTTTATGCAAAGGGGGTTTATAGGCATGTGAAAATGAATTTACTACAGGGTAATAGATAAGGATGCTTACTCTCCAGGTCCTGTTTGTTGTTTTACATGTTTTACAGGAAGAGCTGTCTCATGTCTTTATTCTTATTCCTAGAAACTATTCTTGAGAATACTACTAAGCAATGAAGAACAATAGCAGGTTTTTATTTGTCACATTCAAAATAATTTATAAGCAATTTCTTAAATAGAAATGATGTGCAGTTGTTATTAGTATTCCTGATATATAAGTGGCCAAAAAAACCCAACATTTTGACTTCTTGACCTCAAGTATTAACTAAAATATTGATAAATATATATAATGCATTATTGTCTCTGTCTATGAACTTAATGACTTGGTATTGTGAAGCAGATTTATATGGTCTGCAAATTAGAAGAGGTATCTAAGTATACAGCACAATTGGATATGATAGTTTCTTGAGTTCTTATTGCCTGTCCATGTGCTGTAGATGGTCACTTTCACTATGAACAAGGAGATGTTAATGCACCTGATCCTTATGAGCCTGGTGATTGGGAACAGCCAGGGGTGCTACTGTGAACATTACCCATGGGGGTCGTGGTCTGCCTGTTCACAAACCTGCAATTATGGCACACAGACAAGGCACAGGTAGGACAAAACTATCTCACTGCTTCTAGGTTTGCATTTATTCCCTGTGAAAATACCACTTCTGGGGAGGGGGGACCTATGTCTGAAGCTCCAGCTTCCATAGTGTGCTGAGAAAAATGGTCATATCCACGTGTTTACCAGAATAATAGATTATATTTTAACTACAAGACTTATACATTACAAGATTATGTAATTATGGGCAAGATTATGTAATATATTATGTAATAACAAACCTCTATCTGCCAACATAAGTGTTGAGGACAAAGCATCCAGGTCCTATGATGGCCTTGCCAGAAGTATGCATTGAGAAACCAGTGTCCAGGTCCTGGTGCTCTGGGAGCTCTGCCCATAGCAGAGCAATGCCCTGGCAGGGGTGAGCCCAGCATTGCAAGCCTTACAGAAAGTTCCTCCCTGTATGATTAATTTTATTACTACAGCTAAAGTCAAATAAAGATTCAGGTACAGTTCAGTGGTATACTCTAAACTTGTGAAAAATTCCCTCTTTTACTTTTGGGTCTTCCTAAAGCTGTTCTCTGGGAGATCTGAAGTGACATGAATCAGAAGGATCACTCTGTAAAGCAAATTTGGATTTTTCTTTTAATAAAATTATGCAGCTACATTTTCATTATCAGATTTCACCCACAGTGAGAGAATATCTATGATCTGTCTATGATTCCTTCCTAGCATAACTTGCTGAATTTTTTTAGGCAAATAAGAATGGATGAATATTATAGGCAAAACTTCTGTGACAAACTGTGCACAAAGAAGGAGTCTCGTGCATGTAACCAGCAAACGTGTCCTATCAACTGCCAACTTGGAGACTTCGGCCCTTGGTCAGAATGTGATCCATGCATTAAAAAACAAGTAGGTAGAAAATGGGTTAAATATAAGAAATTACACTTAAGAGATCTCTTTGTTTCAGACATTCAACTTTATGGCAACTGATCTGCAAAATGAGCATTTAAGCTAACAAGGGAAATTGTTTATAACAGTAGAGGATGGAAAGAACAAGTTAGAATAAGCATATCAAAACAGAAGAGTGATTTATTAGCATAAATCCATTTATGAGAACTTGCTTCAAAAGTTCCATTGTCACAAATAAAATGAGCTTTCCACATAAATCTGTAGAGTTAGCATGTCTGTTTAAGCAGGAGAAAGTCACGGAATCTTTAGCTTAGCCATAGCATTCTATATGTTCTGAAGACAAGAAGAATAGGATTAAATACTCCATTAAAAAGAGTTAGCTGATAAATCTGAACCAGCACTGACCAGAAAAGCTCAGGCTATATCTTACACTGATAGCCAAGATCAGTTTGAGATTGCTGTTAAGAAATCCAAAGCAGCATTCCCCCAGCCTTTATACCCTATACAAAAGCCTCGAGGATTTGCTTAATATGTATCTGTGGAACAAAATCCCAAGATGGTGGTTTTCCTTCTTAGTCTTATGTTAGTCTACTGATGGTGGGCTTAGAGATGAGATGGCTGAGAGGTGAGAGGTAAAAGTCAGGCTCAAGTAGATTTGACCCGAAGAAACTGAGCCCTGGCAAATGTAAGGTTGTAGGGAGTGAAGGAGAGTAGAGTGCATATTGTTTGGGGCAGTTATGTGGCTGGTGGGTCTGAGCTTTGAGGCTGACTGTGAAAGCAGCTCTGACTTTCTATGCAGACACAACCTACAGCTCTCCTCTGAATGTCCTGCTCAGCTTCAGAAATCCATGCCTGAAAAGCCATCTCAATAAACCTGTCAGATATTATATCTTTACAAACAAAAACCACTTTCGGGTGCCCAAAAAGGATGAGGAAGGTTTCAAGGGGCTGCTGCAGCCATGAGATGTGAACCACCCCACGGTGTTCCCATCCTGCAACTGCAATGAAGAGTATGAGAGCACAGTGGGGAGACAGTTAGAGAAGGAGGCAGAAAATGAGCTGCGAGAGCTGAAAGAGGGCATTGCTCTCAATTGAACTGATTTTTTTTGGTAATCAATATCCTCCAAAGTGCCTGAGTTTCTCACCTACACATCCATATATAGAATTGTTGTTGACTTGTATTAGTTTCAGATATTGATGCAATGTATTTGATGTTTCAAGCAAAGAGGTGCTTTTGTGGACTGTGATCCATTTTTCCCTCCAATCTATAAAGATCACTGTCAGCGACCTTTATAAATATAAATAACCATCAGAATGGAGGACGTGACTTTCAAGGTAAGTGTGAAGACTAGAGTAAGCAAGCTCCCAGGTAGGAGGAGGGATGAAGAGGAGAAAGTTCATAAAAATAATATACTGAGTGTTCTGGATCCCAAATATAGTACAAGGAAAGGTTTGTCTTGAGTGCAAAATCCTCGCATTCTTCCTTCATAATCACTTGATTACTGATTTTTACTAGACATCTTCCTGCCTTGTTTAACTCCAGAGTCTGTCTATGGGGAAGGAAGTAACAGAAGTCTGCAAGGAACTGTGCTTTTCCAGTGGGGACAATTCTTGAGGAAAGAACTGTTCAGTCACATGCAGACAGGTCTTGCCTTCAGTCCCTTGAAGTGCAGTGAAAAAAATATCTGAAGTGATTCGTCTAGCAGCTTTCAGCTTTGTTATTCTGTATGAAGGATACAGACTCACAGAAAGAAAACACAGAGAGCTCCAGATTTTACTCCCAGATCTTTTTTCATAACATAAACTTTCAGAAAAAAACATTTTTGTCCTCCCTGCTTGCCCAGTGCTCCTCAGAAGAGAGGCTTCATGTATGAGAGTCGATCCAGCTGGTTTGAGAAGGGGAATACATGCCACTGCCAGAATATTTCTTGTTCAACTGAGATGATAAAGAACAGGAAAAATCTCTGCAAGCTTGTTCACACACCATTTCCTACTGTTCCTTTCAAACAGAAGATACAGGGACTGCACTTTTGTTTCCCCTGGTGTTGTAGCCCAGTTGTCAAGTGTTTAATCTTGCACGCTCTGTCGGGGCTGTTGAGGGTCTTGGATTTCAGTTCCCTGCCTGCCTCACCAGGGATGATGGCACAGTAAGCTGCAAGGACAAAAATATCCTTCAGGGTTCTGGTTTCAATAAAGCTTAAGTAGCACTGAGAGGTGTGGCACTGATGGGGCTCTGGTACTTAGCTACAAAACCAGCTCACACAGACAACCCTAGTTTTATTTCTTCTGCCTTTCAGTTTCGTGTCCGAACACTCCAGCGACCATCCCAGTTCGGGGGTCAGGCCTGTACTGAGCCACTGGTGGATTCCCGCCCGTGCTTTCCAACTAAGATCTGCAACATAGTGGAAGTTGATTGCAGGAATAAATTTCAGTGCGAAAGTGGTAAAGATAATCTTCATTGAGTAACTACTGCATTGGTAGATAATAAAAAGATTAGATACTGAGACAAAAAAGGCTAAGATCGTCCAGATCTTGTATGTTCCGTGCACAAATTTCAAGCAAAAGGACCAGGGAGAAAATTCTACTTTTGAACTTTATATGTATTAGTAGCAGCTTATGTTTACAGTTTCTTCTGTAGCTAAAAGTAATTTAAGTGCAATCTCTAGCCTGGAATGTCAGTCTGATCATGATAGCTGGATAGTAGCACTGTTCCAATTTATTTTTTTTTCCATATATTTTTCATGTACAAACATATACATGGAGTTTGTCTGAACATAAACTTGTAGTACTGTTACCAGATTTGTGGGTATTTCTTATTTGTTTCAATCTAAATAGGCCTGATTAGGCCCAAAATAACTTTATCCACATATCTTTTTGCTAAACCTTAAATTAAGTTTTTGCATCTTCAAAGAAAGGCAAAACTGGCAGAAGTGAAATAATAGTTTCTTATTGGAATAATCTAAGTATTATACTCCCTCACTCCTGTTGCAAGTTTACACTTGACTAGGGAAACAAACAAACTGCCCCATTCTTCATGCAAATGTGATGCATCTTTGTGCAAAGTCTCTTGCTGCTGCTGTTCCTCTGCTGTAGGTCGCTGTATAGCAAAAAAACTGGAATGTAATGGAGAAAATGACTGTGGAGATAACTCTGATGAAAGAAATTGTGGGAGAAAAAGGACTGTGTGTAACAGAAAGTATGAGAGCATCCCAGGTGTGCAGTTAATGGGCAGTGGGTAAGCCAGTTTTCTTGTTTTTCATAAACTTGACATAGCTATCTCATGATTTACATAAACAAGATAGTCCCCAAAGAGCATGTGAAAATATCCCATTAAAACACACAAACTCTCAAATTAAAATTAATGAGGAATTATAAAAATATAGCCCAAACATCAGGCTAGGACTTGCCCAATGCATATGCTAGTTCTGCTCTGTACTACTGGTGCTCTAGATAAAGAGCTATCAGGGAGCAGCTGCTGTCTGAGTGACCCCACCTGCCTCACAGGAACCACAGCATCACCTAATGGAAACTCCACCTTCAGTTATGGCAAGTGTTTCAGAAATTTTGGGGCTGTTCCTCTACAGATGTTTGTTTGTCTATAATGTATTTTACAAGATACCAACCACTATGTCTTCCAGGCCACTAATTTAAGTAGTGTAGAACATAAACATGGCACGCCTGCCTCAGGTAGTCCTGAATTTTTTAACCAAATTTCAAACTCAGTGCACTCTGATGATGTCACTTATGGTAGAAACTTAGAACTGCTTATTCATTTTCCTAGGCCATTTCCAGGTGTTTCTGTGCAAGACTGGCTGTGTCATGCTGATTATCTAGAGGGTTAGGCACTGCTGGAGAGGAGGAAGATTGCTACTACAGCATTTTTCAGGTGAATTCACCTGAATGTGAATGAGTGTGAATGAGAAGTTCTGGTAGAGGAATTGCTTTCAAAGTATTAACAGAACCCAGATGCTCATGCTGTTCCATTCAAACCTACAAAACCTTCAATGCAGCTATATACTAATAAATGTTTGAAGTCTGTGTATCCTTCTGGGATTGTTTAATCTCTGGAAATATTTTTTGTCAGATTTCACATTCTGGCAGGAGAGAGCCGAGGGGAAGTCCTTGGCAATGCATTCAATGGAGGACAATGCACAACAGTGAAGCGCAACGAGACAAGGAAATCATACCGTGTTCCTGCGAACCTGGAGGCTGTCAGCTTTCAGGTATTCTCAAGCACTATTCCTGGATTAAAAAAACATTGCCATAATCAAAATCCAAGTTATGCACTCTTAGTCTTAGTCTTACGCAGTTACAAGCAAGGCCTTAACTAGTGAGGCCTGAACATGCTTCAGTGTGCAGAAATGGGATGAATCGGGTAGTCAGGTGGCTCTACTCACACCTTTCAGATCTGTGTTGAGTCACTGCATCATATGTCAGCATCAACATGGTTGATTTGAGCTTCTCTCCTTTTTCCTTACGACTATGGCCATGTCTTTGTTCTAACTGGGCACCAGAAGCCTTGCTGACCCTGACGTAATCTGGCCGGGGACTTGTTGAAGTCCAAAGCTCATATCAGCATCACTGCTGTATCCTTTCAGTGCCAATGGCTGTCCTGACTCCAGCTTTCTTCCAGTTGGCTGCAGCCTTGGGACACAGTTCCTTCTTGAGCCATTTCAGCCCATCAGTCCTGCCTGTTCCATGCCCAGTGCCTCCAAAGGACAGAAAGGAGAGAAGGCTGACACCTAGCCTGGGAGGCAGGAGGGCAAGAAGTACAGTCTGGGGAGGAGTCTTGTAGGACAGGCTTGTATCTTATAAAAAAATCTAGGAATCACAATTTTTTTTAGACCTTTAGACATTAATATTTAAATACGTTTAATGTTTTTATTTTTTTAAAATGTTAGGGTGCAACATCCATCTGTGCTCATATCAGCAGGCCCTATGTACAGGCAATAAATACTGCGTTGGAAGGAAAGAATGCAGGATGTGAAAAATGTTTACATAACAGATGAAGTCTGAACTGCTGACTTTTGCCATGAGTTCTATAAGGTTTTAGTATTACTGTAACAGAAGCAACTGAACGAAAACATCCTAATATGTTCCATGGAAATCTGAAGTGGATTGGCTATACATGTAGTTTTGTCAGTAAAGGTGAAAAGTTACTGTGTGCAGAAATATTTAACGAGGAAAAACAAATCTTGGTTTGCTAGGGTCTCTTTAAAGCTATGTGGTTTATTAAGTTACTGATGTCCATTTTGCAGAACTGTTAAGGGTTTGTGAATCTCACCTTTGAGAGTGCATCTATATCTTTTAACTTTATAGCAGTCTTTGCTACAGGAAGGTCACTGGATTAGGCTTTCTTCTTGGAACACCACTTCCTTTTCATACAGAAGCATAGGACTTCTTGGGAAATGGAAGAGGATTGTGAGAATGAACCCACTCATCTACCAAGGCCATTAGCAGTCCTATTAATCAAACCATTCTAGAGAAGTGAAAAATTAACTCTTTCAAACATCCATAGGGATATGGCTGGGTTCTGGGAAATGAGTAATGAATAAATGCAGTAATTCTGCACTGAGGCTAAAGTTTTCTTTGTACTTTGCAAGACAGCATCACTGCACTTTACCAAATTCATTAGACAGGTTGGCTCCTTGTTCCTCTACATCCACCCTTAGTCCACTGTGCAGTATGGGTGCTAACAAAGTGTGGTCTGGGACTCTCCTCTAGAAACCTGTTAATTCAATGAGCTTGGAATTAAGAGGAAAGGCCAGAAAACATCAAGCTCTTTGCCTTGTGCAGTATATAAGCCTTGGAAATAAAACTTAATTACAGTGTGGACATAGCATGAAGGTCTGAAAGTCTCTGAAAAGTGTATTGAAATACTTACAGAAACTTATTCCTAAGCTTTGGGGCATGGGGGTGGAGAATTTTAGAAGAAAGTGTTACATGCTGGTTTGTTTTTTCTTTCCTTGTATAAATGCCTATTAGTACTTATACTTATCTGGTAATAACCTTGCCTATTTACTTTTCTCAGCCTCATATTTTGCATTAAAAACAGTATGTTAACTTAATGCCATGTCCCAAATAATCAAGCATGTTTCTTCCATAAAAAAAAAATCAATAATTCATTGCTTAATAGGTTCCTGGTTTGGATTATTTTGGCAAATGCTTTTCACTGAATCTCCAGGTAACAGATGAAGAAGATGATGTAACATCACATTTCTACAACGATTTAACTCCTCTGAGTGACAGTGCTCATGAAAGCAGTTCATCCTCTCGTGGTGCTAAAACATCTTCTGGTATCCCATTTTTTTTCTCAAAAAAGGCACGGGTTGAAGTCACATCATCTTCTTCCTTCAGGAAAGCCATTCAGGCCTCAAAAGAAAAGGTAATTGAATGTTGTCTACATTTTCTTTTTGTCATTCAGTTTCTGTAGGCTCTGTTCAGAACTGAGCTACCAAAGATTCCTTTCCTTACAAAAACATGGGCATTTCTTCCTTTTTTT